GCCATCGAATGTGAGCATTTGCCCACTAAAGTCGGTTACGACGACGAACTGGAGTCAGGTCGAGACCCTGATGAGGACGACGAGCATGCAGATGAGCTTCCCTGAGACGGTTTCTGACAGTTTGTGCAGAAATTCTTTGGTTATGCAAACCGATTGTTGCAGCAGCTGTCCGGGTGGCTGGTCTCAGACGATCTTGGAGGTGAAGATGCTGGATGTGGAGGTCCTGGGCTGGTGTGGTTACACGTGGTCTGCGGTTGTGAGGCCGGTTGGATGTACTGCCAAATTCTCTGAAACGCCTTTGGAGACGGCTTATGGTAGAGAAATGAACATTCAATTCACGGGCAACAGCTCTGGTGGACATTCCTGCAGTCAGCATGCCAACTGCACGCTCCCTCAAAACTTGCGACATCTGTGGAATTGTGCTGTGTGATAAAACTGCACATTTTAGAGTGGCCTTTTATTGTGGCCAGCCTAAGGCACACCTGTGCAATAATCATGCTGTCTAATCAGCATCTTGATATGCCACACCTGTGAGGTGGATGGATTATCTTGGCAAAGGAGAAGTGCTCACTAACACAGATTTAGACAGATTTGTGAACAATATTTGAGAGAAATAGGCCTTTTGTGTACATAGAAAAAGCCTTAGATCTTTGAGTTCAGCTCATGACAAATGGGGGCAAAAACAAAAGTGTTGCGTTTATAATTTTGTTCAGTGTATATATATATTCACACGTGTTACAGACAACAAATAAATATTTTCATCAAATGTTACATAAGTGAATGTATTTCCCTGGATTGAAATATATGAAGGGTAATTATATTTTTAAATGCTTTAAAAATATATATATTTATATTTTCATATTATATACAAAAAAAGGGCCCAAAAATATATTGGTAGAAAATATATTTACATAAATATATTTAAGCAAATATATTTTGTGGCAATTTTCTGTATATTTTTAAATATATTTTTGAGCAATAAATTCTAATATTTTTTTCTAAAGCTACTTTTTTTGTAATGTTTATTCAATGCATTTTGCATTTGAACACAATAATGACTATCTTTTAGGGGGTAATTTCTCAGGCCAATTTAATTTGCAATTAATACAAATAATTAATCAGCACATCACTGAATTAATTAGATTAAACATTTGAATCACTTGACAGCCCTAGTTGCTACTTTTTAAACTCTTAAACGTTCTTTTGTGTTCCATTGGAAAAGTTTGAATTTTTAGAATATTCCATTTCAAATGAACTCTTCCTCTAACTGATGAAGATGAGGCTAAGCCATGAAAATGCACAACAGAAGCTGGAATCACAATGTTATAACGGGATGTCCCACTGAAATCTGCTGGAAGCCTAAACATGCTGACTACTTAGAAGAGAATCCGAGTGCACACTGTGATTTCAGGCCACAAGCTGCGAGGTTCATGTCCGAGCGGAGGTCTATGAAATGAATAAGTCCAGTATCGCACAGAGGAAACGAGGCAGGAAAGCTTCTTTTTTGAAAACCCAAATGGCCTGATGAGAACTGTAAAGTATATATAAAATGATATAAGCCTCGTGAAAACGGACTGCTCTGAATTCAGGAACATCTCAGGGCTTCTGGCTTGATCAGAGTGGAGTTTGTGAGATGAATTCACCTGTCTCCGTGAGGTTCAGCAGCGAGCAGGAATACGGGTCTTCACGATCTTCCTCCGGCACAGAACAGCCATGTTCACCGATGATGAATTTCACCATCACCCTTTCAAATAAAACGACATCAATACATCATTCTAGACTTCTAGTCAGTTCTGACTGGCTAGCAAGTGTGTAACATCAAGTGTCATTTAATTGTTCACGGTTGCTGAGCAACATCACAATCTGCTGCATCAATACAGATGTGCATCACAGACGTGTGTATATGGGCTATTTTACAGCGGTTTGCTGAATTTAGAGTCTGTTGTACAATATTAATTATTAAAGAGAGGACTCAAGTGTGTCATAATGTAAAGCTGTTTGCAATGGATCCTCTGCAGTGAATGGGTGCCGTCAGAATGAGAGTCCAAACAGCTGATAAAAACATCCCACTAATCCACACCACTCCAGCCCGTCAGTTAACATCTGGAGAAGACAAAAGCTGAAACAAATCCAGCATTAAGACGTTTTTAACTTCAAACCATCGTTTCCAGCTGAAATACGAGTCTATAATCCATAATAACTCTTCCTCTGGTGAAAAACTGCATCTCCTGTCACCGACCGTTTCTGGAAGTGAGGGTGGTGTTTAAGGTACCCCAGCCATGTGTCTCTTATGGCCTGCCGGAGCTCATGATGATGCCGCGCTGATAAAACACCCACCAACACCTCATGCACAGCCTTCTGGTTGTCTATCAATGCAATATTGAACTGAAACACAATAATCAGCACCAAAACAGAGCCTGATGATATTCTCCAATGCTGCAAAAGTTTCAAACATGCAGAAAGCCTTTTTAAAGGAATAGTTCATACAAACATGAAAATATGCTGAAAATTGACTCACCCTCAGGTCATCTGAGTTTCTTCATCAGAACAGATTTGTAGAAATGTAGCATTGCATCAGTGT